GTGGCAGCTCTTGATGCATTTAGCAATGAAGCGATGCCCCTGGGGCTTGATGCCTTTTGTAACAGATCCTTGCACAGGGTCATGGGGTACAGTTGGCGGGACCATGTGTCCAACCAACGGCTGCACCGTGAGATCGGTACAGGACCTGTGACCTGCCAACTCAGGCTATACGGCCACTTGGCTCGATTCCCGCAGAATGACCCTGCCCATCAGGTTGTCTCTGTCCGAGACAACCCTGGGTGGAGGAGGCCTGTGGGACGAGTGAGAAAGTCGTGGCTTGGGCAGGTCGATCAAATCAAACCGGTCGTGAGGAGCTAGAGATGGGCCGGGCCCCTGCCTGGCGGCTCGCCATGAGGGACCCTCGTGGGTGGAAGCGAAGGGTGGATGCGGCTATGCGCCCTCGCCGGCATTAGCTCCCAATGGAGATGATGAAACTGTTACAAGTGATGAGAATTGCAAGTTACTTATTACTTTTACTTATGCTAAACAGTCAAAATCTTATATATTGTCATTACCATTATATTATTACTGTTTCACTCTTATCACTTCGGTTATTAATACCACTGTAATAACGATCACCACTAATTATTATTATTGCTGTTATTGTCCTTATTATTAACATTATTATTAGTATTTGCATAATTATTATTGCTATTATTATTTTTATTATTATTATTATTATTATCATCATCATCATCATCATCGTAATATTTGGTGGCGAGTAAATGTCTCATGATCATTAATCTAGAAATCTGATGATATTGCAAACTCACCCCCCCCCCAACGCAAAAAAGGATTATGCAATTAAATATAACAACAACAACAACAACAAAAGAGGAAAAAAGGGGTATTCGGTACATTTTTTTTTCTTCTTTTAAGTCCATAAATCACATCAGTCAGCGCAGGTATGTTATTTTTTTTTTTGCTCTCTCTTTTTTATTCTCTCTCTCTCTCCATCTCTCCCTCCCTCTCTCCCTCTCTCTCTCTCTCTAATAACAATGACTCTGTGGCTTCATTGTGTTGTTGTTTTATGCAATGTTATATGCTTTTTCGTGATGCAGTGTTTTTGCTTTGCTCATCAAAAATATTTCTGTGTCGCGTGTTACTGGAATGTTAATCATATTTTATTATCATTATTAACGAGGAATTTAAACTGGTTCTCTATTTTTATTATTGTTTTTTTCTCTCTCTCTCTCTTTTCTTTCTTAAATATTTGTTTCTATGTGGAATGAAGAAGACATTGCCAACATGGATACATTTTTATTTTTTTGTCTTTTTGTTTTATTATTAGTTTTGTTGATTCATTAAAAATTTGTCCCGAGCTTGCACCCTGGGTCAGGCTTTTCTCCCCCAAAAACAGGCGAGAGAAAAGATTTTGACCCAAACAGCATCTTCTCTGAGTCCTCTGACCCCCCCCCCCTTCTCTGCTGGTCCCCTTTTTGCGTGGTCACCCAACCTTGGCTTTCTTCTCTCTCTCTCTTCTCTCTCTCTCTCTCTCTCTTTTCTTCTCTTCTCTCTCTCTCTCTCTCTCTCTCTCTCTCTCTCTCTCTCTCTCTCTCTCTCTCTCTCTCTCTCTCTCTCTCTCTCTCTCTCTCTCTCTTCTCTCTCTGCTCTCTCTCCTCTCCTCTCTCTCTCTCTCTCTCTCTCTCTCTCTCTCTCTCTCTCTCTCTCTCTCTCTTTTCTTCTTCTTTTCCTTTTCTTCTTTTTTTTCTCTTCTTTTCTTTCTTTTCTTCTTTCTTTCATTCTTTTTCTTTCCTTTCTCTCTTTCTCTCATTTCTTTCTTTCTTTCTCTCTTTTCTTTCTTTCTTATTTCTCATTTTTTCTTTTTTCTCTCCTTTTCTCCCTTTTTTCTCTCTTTTTCTTCTTTCTTTCTCTTTTTTTCTTTCTTTTTCTCTTTCTCTCTTTTTCTTTCTCACTTTCCCTTTCTCTTTCTCTCTTCTCTCTTCCCTCTTTTTCTTTCTTCTTCTCTCCCTTTTCTCTCTCTTTTTCTTTCTTTCTTCTTTCCTTTTTCTTTCTCTCTTTTCTTTCTCTCTCTTTCTCTCTCTTCTCTCTCTCTCTCTCTCTCTCTCTCTCTCTCTCTCTCTCTTTCTTTTTCCTTTCTTTCTTTTCATTTTCTTTTCTTTCTTTCTCTCTTTCCCTTTTTCTTTCTCTCATTTTCTTTTCTTTCTTTCATTTTCTTTCTTCTTTCTTTCTCTCTTTTTCTTTCTTCTTTTCTTTCTTTCTTTCTTTCTCTCCTTTTTCTTTCTTTCTTCATTTTCTTTTCTTTCTTTCTCTCATTTTCTTTTCTTTCTTTCTTCTTTTTCTTTCTCTCTCTCCTCTCTCTCTCTCTTTTTTCTCTCTTTTCTTTCTTTCTTTCTCTCATTTTTCTTTCTTTCTCTCATTTTCTTTCTTTCTTTCTTCATTTTCTTTTCTTTCTCTCTTTTTTTTCTTTCTTTCTCTCATTTTCTTTCTTTCTTTCTCTCTTTCTCTCTTTTTCTTTCTCACTTTCCTCTTTCTCTTTCTCTCTTTTTCTTTCTCTCTTTCTCTCTTTTTCTTTCTTTCTCTCTCTCTTTTTCTTTCTCTTTTTCTTTCTTTCTTTCTCTCTTTCTCTCTTTTTCTTTCTCTCTTTTTCTTTCTTTCTCTCTCTTTTTCTTTCTTTCTCTCTCTCGTTTTCTTTCTCTCTTTTTCTTTCTCTTTTTCTTTCTTTCTTTCTCTCTTTTTCTTTCTCTCTTTTTCTTTCTTTCTTTCTCTCATTTTCTTTCTCTTTTTCTTTCTTTCTTTCTCTCGTTTTCTTTCTCTCTTTCTCTCTTTTTCTTTCTTTCTTTCTCTTTTTCTTTCTTTCTTTCTCTCTTTTTCTTTCTTTCTTTCTCTCTTTTTCTTTCTTTCTCTCTTTTTCTTTCTCTCTTTTTCTTTCTTTCTTTCTCTTTTTCTTTCTTTCTTTCTCTCTTTTTCTTTCTTTCTTTCTTTCTTTCTCTCTTTTTCTTTCTTTCTTTCTCTCATTTTCTTTCTCTTTTTCTTTCTTTCTTTCTCTCTTTTTCTTTCTCTCATTTTCTTTCTTTCTTTCTCTTTTTCTTTCTTTCTTTCTCTCTTTTTCTTTCTTTCTCTCTTTTTCTTTCTTTCTTTCTCTCTTTTTCTTTCTTTCTTTCTCTTTTTCTTTCTTTCTTTCTCTCTTTTTCTTTCTTTCTTTCTCTCTTTCCCTTTTTCTCTTTCTCTTTCTCTCTTTCTCTCTTTTTCTTTCTTTCTTTCTCTTTTTCTTTCTTTCTTTCTCTTTTTCTTTCTTTCTTTCTCTCTTTCTCTCTTTTTCTTTCTCTCTTTCTCTTTTTCTTTCTTTCTCTCTTTTTCTTTCTCTCTTTTTCTTTCTCTCTCTCTTTTTCTTTCTCTTTTTCTTTCTTTCTTTTTCTTTCTTTCTTTCTCTCATTTTCTTTCTTTCTTTCTCTCTTTCCCTCTTTCTCTTTCTCTTTCTCTCTTTCTCTCTTTTTCTTTCTTTCTCTTTTTCTTTCTCTCTTTCTCTCTTTTTCTTTCTTTCTTTCTCTTTTTCTTTCTTTCTTTCTCTTTTTCTTTCTTTCTTTCTTTCTTTCTCTCTTTTTCTTTCTCTCTCTTTTTCTCTCTTTTTCTTTCTTTCTCTCTCGTTTTCTTTCTCTCTTTCTCCCTTTTTCTTTCTCTCTTTCTCTTTTTCTTTCTTTCTCTCTTTTTCTTTCTCTCTCTCTTTTTCTTTCTCTTTTTCTTTCTCACTTTCCTCTTTCTCTTTCTCTCTTTCCCTCTTTTTCTTTCTTTCTCTCTTTCTCTCTTTTTCTTTCTTTCTCTCTCTCCTTTTCTTTCTCTCTCTCTTTTTCTTTCTCTTTTTCTTTCTTTCTCTCTTTTTCTTTCTTTCTCTCTCGTTTTCTTTCTCTCTTTCTCTCTTTTTCTTTCTCTTTTTCTTTCTCTTTCTCTCTTTTTCTTTCTCTTTTTCTTTCTCTTTTTCTTTCTCTCTTTCTTTCTCTCTTTCTCTCTTTTTCTTTCTCTTTTTCTTTCTTTCTTTCTCTCTTTTTCTTTCTTTCTTTCTCTTTTTCTCTCTTTTTCTTTCTTTCTTTCTCTTTTTCTCTCTTTTTCTTTCTTTCTCTCTTTCTCCCTTTTTCTTTCTCTCTTTTTCTTTCTTTCTTTCTCTCTTTTCCCTTTTTCTTTCTCTCTTTTTCTTTCTCTTTCTTTCTCTCTTTTTCTTTCTCTTTCTTTCTCTCTTTTTCTTTCTTTCTCTCTTTTTCTTTCTCTTTTTCTTTCTTTCTTTCTCTCTTTCTCTCTTTTTCTTTCTCTCTTTTTCTTTCTTTCTCTCTTTCTCTCTTTTTCTTTCTCTCTTTTTCTTTCTTTCTCTCTCTTTTTCTTTCTTTCTCTCTCTTTTTCTTTCTCTCTTTCTCTCTTTTTCTTTCTTTCTTTCTCTTCTTTCTTCTCTTTTCTCTTTCTCTTTCTCTCTTTCTCTCTTTTTCTTTCTTTCTCTCTTTCTTTCTCTCTTTTTCTTTCTTTCTCTCTTTCTCTCTTTTTCTTTCTTTTTCTCTTTTTCTTTCTTTCTCTCTCTTTTTCTTTCTCTTTTTCTTTCTTTCTTTCTCTTTTTCTTTCTTTCTTTCTCTCTTTTTCTTTCTTTCTTTCTCTCTTTTTCTTCCTTTCTTTCTCTCTTTCTTTTTCTTTCTTTCTTTCAGTTTTCTGTTTTTATTCCTCTCTCTTTCTCTTTCTCTCCTTCATGCTCACTTTTTCTCTTATCCCCTTTCTCTTTTTCTTTTGCTTTCTCTTTATCTCCTTCATACTCTTTCTCCCTCTCTTTATCTCTTACTCTTTCTACATTTTCACCTACATCCATTCTCTCTCTCTTTCCCTTCTCCCTCTCTCTTTCTTCCAGTTTCTCTGCCCCACTTTGTCTCCCCTCATTCTCTCTCTCTTTCCCTTCTCCCTCTCTCTTGCTCCCCAGTTTCTCTGCCCCACTTTGTCTCCCCCTCATTGTCCCTCCCTCCAAGCACCCTCTCTGACTCCCTGACGGCGGGTTTTCTCCCTGGCAGTGGAGGAGCCGTACGAGATCTGTCCATACGCCACCTTCAGCCTGCCCCCAACTGGTGGCGGAGGCGTTGGTGGAGGAGCCCTGGACTACACGCTTCAGTTTCAGACGTTTGGCCACCAGGACTGTTATGAGGGCCAACCCCAGCCCTCGAGGTCCTCCTCCTTCATGGGTGGGAAACGGCGCGAGGGTGGTGGTGGAGGTGGTGGTGGTGGTGGGGTGGGAGGAACCGGACACGCCCCTGGTAAGGCTCGCTCTCTCTCCACCTGAAGCCCCCTCCTTCCTTCACAGTCCTTCACTCCTACAAATCCTGAATCCCTAATACCCCACCCCCTTTCCTCCTCATCCCCCCCCCCATAGAGTTTGGTTTCTCTTTTTAAAAACCCTCTGTATTCACCCCAGCCTCTCTTACCCCCTACCCTTCTCTCCATTCCAGCTTTCTGTCACAGATTTGTACAGGAAAATATGAAAATGTATAAATATACACAACTCACTACTCACTAATGTTTATTAGAATTTAATCTGTATTGGATTTTTAATGAATAGGAAATATGCTGGAATGGCATTTTTAAAACAATCCATTTAACTGTGTCATGATGTAGATTACTTTTTTCCTTTGGTTAATTGTGTAGGGCAAATGAATGGCTTTACTTGCATGTTAAGTGGAACTAGATGTTGCTTGAACATGGGTCTGAAGTAGAAAGAAACCAAGGATGCTTGGTCACTTTTCCGTATGTCTCTCACACACAACATGTCCCCGCAGGGCCCTGGCAAGGAAGAGTAACCAGAACACCACCCTCCCTCCCCCTCTTTGCAGAGATCGCATGCATCTCAAGCCAGCAGACGCTGCCCATATCTTCCGTGGCTGTCCGCGGGCGCCCCTGTCGTCGAGGCCAGTCAGGTGAGGAAGGGCGTGGCTCTGACAGTGAGCAGGACACGAGTGGCAGTCCCGGGGCTACGCCTGCCCATGGCGTGAGGGACACCTATAAGGTCCCTGTGCGGCTCAGGAGAGGTGGGAACTCGCCCCGGCCGTTCTGTTTGACACCTCTAGATTTAAGTCAGTTACATCAGCCTAAAGTAAGAGATTGTGAGATATGGATATTCATGCACTCCCCTTCAGAAAAAAGGATAATTTGGAGAAGCCACTTTCATCCATGAGCCAAAAATGATGATTAAATAGCAGCCTGACAGAAACGCATCCACTAACTGTTAAATTTCAGCTCGCGTCTTTGCCAGCCACATGCCTCGGCGATATTTAATGTTCACTCTCTTTCTCCAAGGTGCAGACTTTAGCTTCCACCCTCCGGACTCCAGCACAGAGAGCAATGACGAACGGTCCCCCATCCCTCCCCGCCGGCCACCCCACCTCCAGCAGCAACAGCAGCAGCAGCAACAACCACCACCACAACAACTACAACAACAACAACAACAGCAACAACAACAACAACAACCCGCCAACCCACAACCTCCCCACCAACCGCATGCCCATCCTCAGCATGCACGTAGACACCATGCCTTCACACCTGCCCATGCTCATGTCCTCAGGTGAAGACTCCTGCATTTTGTGTGTTCTAAAGTAGATGTTCCTCAAGTCTATCAAGGTCATTCTTGCACTGAATGCTGTGTGTGTGCTTTCTTGAGCAACAGTTAAAACAAAAAAACAAAAAAAAAACAAAAAAAAATTAACTCATTCTGAATGTTTATAGTAAAACATGATCATAAACGGTGTAGAGTTGGATGTTTTTATTATTGTTAAGGATTATGTTGGACATTAAAATAACAAAAAACTGTTTGGGGGAAAGGTGTCAAAAGAAAAGATTATCTCACAAGGCATTTTGAGTGATCCTGCAATTTATTTCTTATAATACCCATCAAAACTTTTTTTTTCTGAGTAACATTTTAAATACAAAGCATCAGTATCTCTACTTCCTTTGTGGGATTATCCATTTTCATTCATACCTTTCCCAACAGCTTTTACAATGAACACATAACATGGCTGTTTTGCAGTCCACTGGCACGAAACAGTTGCATGTTAACATACCAGAAATGCTTTCATTTGAAGCTCTCTGTCATGCGAAGCCGACTGCCAAAAAAAGTTGAAGCCAAAGCATACGTAGTATTTTCATCATAGAAATAATAAATGTTGATGCCTTTCTTTATTAGCTTCTGGTTAAACAATACCACAAACATTGACAGAAAAAAAAAAGAAAAAAAAAAAACTGCATAAAAGTTGTTTTAAATAAGTATATGTTTATATTTCAATCATTAGCTTTAATAATGACCGTATGAAATGAAAGTTTTGATAATAACAATAAATAACGTCAAATGAAGCACCTCCCTGCATACTAGGAATAGTTGGGGTCCTGATCGCTCGCAGCACCACAGAGACTCGCGCTTGAGCAGTGTTCAGCAGCTCCCAGTACCTTTGAGCGCACGGAGAACATTCTAATACACGTAAACAACACTTGACATTATCATTTTTCATGTAATTATTTCCATGATAC